CCGGAGGTGTGAGTTGAAAGTCCGTCTGACAGGGGGCTCAGCGAGACGTTCCCAGCAGACCCTCACTATACGCTTGGGTCTGCCAGGTCTGACCGGCTTCTTCCCCTGCCAGCGGATCCAACTCACGACCAGGTGATGATCAGTTGACAGCTCCGCCCCTCTCTTTACCCGAGTGTCCCGAGACACGCGGTCGAAGGTCAGATGATACGACAACAAAGTCGATCATCGACCTCCGGCCTAGGGTGTCCTGGTGCCACGTGCACTGGTGGACACCCTTGTGCTCGAACATGGTGTTCGTGATGGACAAACCGCGACTGGCACAGAAGTCCAACAACTGAGCACCGCTCGGGTTCAGATCAGGGGGGCCGCTCTTCCCGATCACCCCTCTCCAAGTGTCACTGGCGTTTCCCACATGGGCGTTGAAGTCCCCCAGGAGAATAACGGAGTCCCCGGGCGGTGCACCGTCCAGTACCCCTCCCAAGGACTCCAAGAAGGCCGGGTACTCTACACTGCTGTTAGGCCCGTAGGCCGTCACAACAATGAGAGACTTGTCCCCCACCCGGAGGCGGAGGGACGCGACCCTCTCATTCACCGGGGAGAACTCCAACACGTGGCGGCTGAGATGGGGGGCAATGAGAATGGCCACCCCAGCTCGCCGCCTCTCCCCGCGGGAAACTCCAGAAAAGTGGAGCGTCCAACCCCTCTCAAGGAGTTGGGTTCCAGAGCCCAAGCTGTGTGTGGAGGTGAGGCCGACTATCTCTAGTCGGTATCGCTCAACCTCCCCCACGAGCTCAGGCTCCTTCCCCCCCAGTGAGGTGACGTTCCACGTCCCAAGAGCCAGATGTTGTGTGTGCGGACTGGGTCGCCGAGGTCTCCGCCTTCGACTGCCGCCCAGTCCTCTCTGCACCGCTTCACCACGGACCCCTCTGCAGGTGGTGGGCCCACAGGAGGGACTGCCCACGTCATCCCTTCGGGCTGAGCCCGGCCGGGCCCCGTGGGCTAAGGCCCGGCCACCAGGCGCTCGCATACGGGCCCCGACCCCAGGCCTGGCTCCTGGGTGGGGCCCCGGCTGCGCCATGCCGGGCGACGTCACTGTTTTCGTGTTAGTGCTGTCCATGGTGTCTTCTGGACTGCTCTTTGTCTGACTCGTCACCTGAGACCTGTCTGCCATGGGAGGCCCTACCAGGGGCATGAAGCCCCAGACAGCATAGCTCCCAGGATCATCCGAGTACTCAAACTCCCCCACCACGTTAAGGTGGCAGTCCAGGGGGGACTGCCGTTTTGCAGCACGAAAAACGCGACCCCCAGCAGTAGAACCACTTCCTCAACAATATCCTCCTCGGGCCGCTGCAAAGACGTGAAAGGATGCCCCAACATCATTCTGCGTTTAACAGCAGCTGCGAAACTGAAACTAGAGCTTTGCGTGGTTTCGTTTGGATGAAGGAAGAAGTAGAATTCTCCTCCGTGTAGCGCTTGAAGCACACGTAGCTAGTTAGTGTACCCGCCGCCATTGTTGTTTACGTTTGTTCTGGGCATGTCCAACTGTACGTGTGGGAAGTGGGGGTCAGAGCAGCAGAGAATTCACACCTGTTTCTTCATGCGCAGTGTATCTGTTCTGTTCCACTCTAGAGGCCGCTTTTTCACCTGAAACACTGTCTCCATGTAAACAGAAGGCCAAACCGAAACCAACTCTAACGTTTTACTGTCGCAGCGTCTCCGTCTAAACTGGGGCTTAATTTGCACACTACAACCTGAGCTCTTCTCACTTTTCTATTGTGTGGTATCGTTAAGGCACGTAGAAAATATGTTACATTTCAATAACATTTACATTCATTTATTTCTCAACATTGCACTGTTGACTTTGTAAGAAAAATACATGTAGAGTAAATGTGTCCGATAACAGGAGAGTATTGTTGCCTAGAGATTGTGTTGTCTTTTGTATGTTTGATAAAAGAACAGGAGAACGTGTCTTCAGCCACACAAAGCACCAGGGGGACTCATAATGTGTCCTTCTGTCATTTATAATTCAGTGTCGTCTCAAGTTAAAGGCTGCTTATGAGTGCAGCACAACTTTGAATCAACTTCAGAAACTCAGGTGAAAGTCAGAAATGAGAATATTGTTCAAAAGACCATTTACATTTATGGTTGATAAAGTTGAAAAGGACAGAATAGTTGGAGAACTAGTATTTACATCATAAAAGTAAGAATTGGATCTTTTATGTGTTTTAAAGTCTCACACAGTATTGTTGAGTGATTTTTAAATTCACTCAAGTAAATATTATTTAATTTGTTTCCGTTGCAAAGAAACATCCCCAGCACGATGTTATGATGTGAATTATGGTTGAGTGAACTATGTTGAATTATAGTGTAGAAACTAACTTTTAGGGCAAGTTTATTTGTATGGCACAGTTCATACACAAACCGACTCAAAGTGCTGAACTAAACAAGACAGAAACAATCAGAAAAGGCTTTAACATCATAAATAATCACAGTACTTTAAAAAGAGTCAAGATGAAATCCTTCAGTTGTTGCAGCTAAACAGAACTATTTTAACCTGGATTTAAACATTGTCAGAGAAGAAGCTTGTTTTAATAATCTGCTATTTTAGATTTGTGCAGCTAAAATCTGGAACCATATTTCTGAAATGTTGAGACAGGCTTCTACTCTGACAATGTGGAGATCCAGGTTAAAACATTTCTGTGTATCTGTGCAGACAACAGAAGGATTGTATCTTCACCCTTTTCAATGGACTGTGAGTATTCATGATCTGAGTGCCTTGAATATAATGTTTCTTTTCCTGTTTGTGAAGCACTTTGAGTTACTGTGTGTATAACTCAAAGTGCTTCACAAACAAGTCGAGCGTTGCGCTCACAAAACGCCAGACGTCTGGTGGTCCCTAAGGTCTCAAAGGTCACTGTTGGTGGCAGAGCATTTAGCTACCAAGCTCCTTTACTGTGGAATCAGCTTCCCATTTATGTTAAGGAAGCAGATACGGTCTCCACATTCAAGGCCAGGCTTAAAGCACTTTACTTTAATTTAGCATATAATTAGGTAATATATAATATATGGTGTATATATTATATATATATGCTGTATTATGTTATATATTATACAATATTGTATTGTGTTATGTTGTATATTATGTTATATATTATGCTGTATGTTATGTTGTGTATTATATATGATATATATGGTATGTATGGTATATGTGATGTACATGATATATAATATATAATTAGGTTTGCTTGGATCGGTTTGCACACCTGGTGTGCAATCCATGAATCTCTTTATTCAAGGCTAGGTTTAAAACAGTCCTCTTTAGTTTAGCATATGGCTAGGAAGGTAAGACTCTGGGAAGGTTAAACTCCTCAGAGTGTCAGTCAAGCTGCATAGGGAGTCAGTTTGCTGGGAGAAGTATGGTAACTTGAGCACTATCCTCTCCCCCTTCCTACTTTACCTACTTTATCTAATTTATCTGTTTAGCACTTTTAGGATTCCGACTGTAGTTTGTTCATTGCTATTCACCCGTTGTCCCATTGTCTGTTTCATGGTACGATGACGGGATCTCTGAGCCTGGCCTCCTCCATCTACACCTGCGGACTGCCCCGCCCGACCCGCCTGGGAGTGCTTCAGTCCTGCACCGGACCTGTCCACGTTCAGCGGCCACTGGTCCACGTTCTGTAGCTAGCTTAGGTCCTAGATCATTAGCCTGTCCGTCCGGAGGAGCGGATCCCTTTCTCATATGGGTCTCCCTCCCTGTGGGTTTCCCTAGTTCTCCTCCAAGGTTTCTCACTTTTTCCCACTGGGTTTTTTAAGAGTTTTTCCTTGTCGATGCAGGAGGGTCTTGTTGGACAGTTAGTGTCCAACAGAAAGGATTGGTGATGATCAGGACACTTTAGCATTCTACAACATGTATGGACATTTTCTTCTGTGTGTGCTTTATATTCTCCATGTGTTAACTGTTGATTCTCTGACCTGTGTTGGTGATTTCAATGGTTTTGTTAAGTCCTCTGAGATGACTTCTGTTGTGACCTAGGGCTATACAAGAATAAATTGTATTGTATTGTATTGTATTGTATTGTATAAAAATATATATATAAACCTGTCTTACCTAACAGCAGCTCAGTGTAGGACCCTTGTATAAGATAAGACAAGATAAACTTCAACCCCAGATCACTGTATGTCTGTGTATGCACTGCAAAAACTAACAACAAGTAAATCAAGTTTTTTTATCCTAATTTGAGCACATTTTGACAGTCTAAAAACAAAATTTGCCAATGGGACTTCAAGAAATGTCTTCCTTGGAAAGAGAAGTAAATTGCAACAACATTTCAAATAAGACTAAAGGGCTTCTTCCATTGGCACATCTTGTTTTAAGTGAGCCAGAATATACTCAAATTAAGAAAAAAAACCTTGATTCAAGAATTTATTACCTCATATTTTGTCATTTTTTGCAGTGTATGAACCATTTTAGCAAGTCTACTCGTATATATATATATATAAAACCTGTAGTTTTATATATATATAAGTCTTGAGACGTGTCCCGTCCCCACAGAAGAGCACGACACTCGGCTCTGGTCTCTCAGGGTGACGCTGGTGTCCGGTGGCAGCTGATTTATATTACAGTGAAACCTAATCCTGAAGTCCAGTCCAGGCCTCAACTATGTGCCAGAGACTTAATCTGGCACTACAGGCCTGACATACTCTCACACAGATTAGGAAGATCTCAGTTTGATCAGTATTTTATAAGAATATTGAGCCGATAAAGTGGCGATCCATCATTGGTTGTAAGAAAACATAATAAATACATTGATTGAATTTAAAGATTCACATTCAGCCTCGAACAAACAACGAAAGTGCAGTAATCTGAACTATAAGTCTGTTTGGATGATTGTTCTAGCACGTATAATCAATAAACAAAAAACAAAATACTATGTACTAAATATAGCATGTCATTAGCATCCAGTACCTCTGAGCTGAAAGTGTGACATGTTTGGTACCTATTTGTGAGACAGCTCCTTCTTCAAGCAGGTCTTGAACGACACAAACTTCTCTTCAGCTCTGAAGCGCTGGAAAAGCAGAGAAAAATATACAAAAAAATTATATTCTTCAGTTCTCTACATGTCCACTAGATGGCAGCGTGTTCTCAAATTAGACTCATCAGACAACGAGGTGTGTTTTGATAATAACAAGTGGCAGGTGTGTCATTTAAACAAGTGTGAAAGAAGTAACTGCAAAAGTATAGTGAGTTGGCTTATATATCGAATATTTCAAAAGTATTTTATTCTGTATTTTTAATAATGTTTGTGATGTTTTTAGTCTATTGTAAGGCGTCCATGGGATTTGAAAGGTGCCAATAAATTAGGTGAATTATTATTATTATTATTAGTTCTATTAATACCACCAACCTAGGAATTACATAAAATCGGTACCTCAGAAGACATTTAAAGGATTTGAATCATGGTGATATATTGACAATAATTTCAACATTTGTCACTCTGTAATGAATAAATGTCATTCAGATCCAGATCAGCATAAGCCCAAAGAAAAATATAATCAGGTATTTGGTATTAAATTATTGACAAATGTGATGACTTTTTGAGTATAACACAATGCTAGAAGTGAAACCTGTGTGTTTTGATAAATAATGAAGCAGAATATCGCCTCACCCCTTCTCCACGCTGCAGTCGGTCCTTCATGACTCCGAGGAACTCTTTGTAGCTGAGTTTTCCGTCATGATCCTCATCAAAGATTTTAAAAACGGTGTTGACCAGATGATGGGTCAAAGTGATACCGGTGGCAACGTAAACCGCTCGTGTAAACTCCTCTGAGGAAAACACAAAATAATTCCACGGTTTTAGTAAAAGCAACTCTGTACAATGGCAGCTCAGGGTACACCGTGACTATTTATCTATCAGAAAACTACTTTTGTTGGTGCCCAGAGCCAGGACTAGACCATGGGGAAGCAGAAATTCAGATCTGGAGCAGTCTTCCTGAAAATGTGAGACAGGCTTCTACTCTGGCTGTTTTCAAATCCAGGTTTGTTTTTTATGGTTTATGTTTTTGTAATATTTCTTGTTATCTTAATATTTGTTTTAATGCCTGGTGGGATTTCAACAGTATTTTTCATGTTTATGTAGATTATAATGTAGATATGATGATAATGATTTATGCTTGATGAAGGGTTGTGGGGCGCTTTGTGTTGCCTTGTGTAGTAAAGGCGCTCTACAAATTGTAGAGTGATATATTGAATGGGAGACAAATGGAAGCTGGGGGACCTAACTTTCAAACTTAAAAGAATGGAAGAATATATGGAACACAATCCAGGTAACTAGTTCCTGGCATAAAACAGTTTGGTTCTATCACAATTTTGTTTTGCCTCTGTCACATCTTTAGATCAGCTTTTTCAGACAGAAAAGTGAAACAGAGAGGACCACCCTCAGTCAGCCAATCAGCTCTCAGCTCTCTCTGAGTTTAAAATAGTGACTCCCAGGGCTCTTCCTTTCAAAAGATAACATGTTTTTTATAGGATGAAGACAGCGTTTGGTCAGATTTGTTCTCAACATTTTACTATTACAAGACTCTGTTATGACAAAGTTTTAGGCAATGAAAGACAAAGCAGAAGAAGACATTTTACATGGCTCAACTTTAAAATATTGAATTGTAAAATGTTATTGAGTCTTACCTTGACCAATTGAGCGATTGGCAAAGTTGTACATCTGCATCGCAATGGTGAAATCCTCCAGGTTGTTCAGAAACTGGAAGAAGGATCTAAATTCTTCAAAGGATATTCCCTAAAAATAAAAACAGAATTTGTGGTCATCAAAGTATTTTTTATCCTATATCTTTATACAGTGTTTATTCAAATACTCAAAATCCTGATTACTGTCCACATCTGCAGCCCGCATAACACCATTCAATAATTGTAACACTAATAAGCATAGCAACAATTGGAGTTTGCAGTCAAGAGAGTTAATATGAAGGGGATAAAAAAGTGCTATGTTCTAAACACTGCACTAGGATTAATACTTTCATCTATATAATGCTAAAGTCAGAGATTTTGTACTTAATTCTTGTTTCTTGTAGCAGATCATAAACTGCTTCCTTATTATGCCAAAGCTAGAGATTTTATTGTATGTTATTTTATATACTGTACTATAGAGTTTAATGGTAATAATAATAAAGCATTGGTTTTATACACCGCTTTTCCGGACATTCAAAGACGATGTCATTGTTCTTTCACTTCAAACACGGTGGTGATAAACTACTACTATAGCCACAGATGCCCTGGGGCACACTGACAGAAGCGAGGCAACCAGTATGTGCCACCGCGCCCTCCCACCGCCAACCATTCACACACACACCAGACTCATTCTAGACAATGGGTGAAGTGTATTGCCTAAGGACACAACGACATTTCGGCACTTTACAGCCGCAGTCGCCCCGGTGTGGCACCTGGTGTTCCCAGAGGTCTCCCATCACAACACTAGTAGTAGAGTAGAGTAGTTTGGTATATAGTTATTTAGTATAGAGTTTAGCATAGAGCTGTGTTAATTTGTCCCACTGTGAGACTAATAATGGATCTCTTAATCTTAACACATAGTTCTTGAAAGGGTTGATATTGTTGATAGAAGTTATGGCCTGGAGTTAATTCATTATACCTGTAAAGCCCCGTGTAAAGAGCTTAAATGGTGTGAGTATAAACACAATGCGTGACTTTAAAGCAGTGGGGAGTCCCTGGTTTAGCTGCAGCCTTCAGATCCCGATAACACGCCCAACAGGTCCAGTCCATGGATTTCCCCTGCTCCGTATGGACACGCCGGGCTGTCAACGCAGGGGGGGGGACTGTAGCTCTTTCTCTCCTTTTAAAGCCGAGGTCAGGACGTTTTCAGCGTTTTTCTAAAGCAGATTAACCCGATACTTGTATAAACAAAAACAAAAAGTGATGAATTCCCAAACACCTCAAGGTTGGCTGAAGACGTGAACATTGGAGCTTTAGAAATGCACTCAACCATCTCGCGGATACTATCTCTGTCTCTCGGCGCAGCGGAGAGCACACAGCCACCAAACAAATGGAGTAATGAGTTATCTGTGACGCTTTGCTGTTTTAACACAGAGCGGGCCATAAAATATCTCTTAGGCTAATGATAGGCGCCACTTGATGGTGAATGGGGATCTCGCATCACCCTCCTCCAGAGCACAAGGGGGTAGTGCTGGTGGCTTTACGCGCTGGGTCAAAGTGTCGAGAGGAAAAACATATTAAGGACCAATTGAGGAAGCTTCACTCAACACATAATTCAGCGGAGAATACAGAGGAGAATATGGGTTATAGGAAGTAAAGTGGGTGCATGAGAAGTGGGTATTATTTTAGTTTTTGCACACATTTATGACAGTAAAGTGTGAGGACGATGTCTTTAAGTGTATGTAAAGCTGTCAGTCTCAACCTGGGGGCCAGGAGTCAGATTTTGGGCCCAAAAGATTTGCAGATGGTCCCCCAAAGTTTTTGGAATAGAGGCTCAAAAACTGTCAATTGACAATTACATCACAATCACGGTCCATCATATTTTACTCCCAAAAAAAGTGATAAATATTCCTCTTGGGACAGCAGCTTTGGGTTGCTAACGTATCCATGGGGAACAACTGAAGTTAAAATCTATGTATCTTCAATTTTAATCCTAAGGAGAGCGTTCCGCCGAGGAGAAAAACTCTACATATGAAGAGTAAGTTCACTTTGTGTTTCCCACAGATAATAACTTAGACAATGGTGACAGTGCTTAGCTGGTTTATGAATGTTATGAAATGGTATTTTAAGGGAAAAATTTGACTTAATGTGAATATTGGATGTTTTCAAAATGTGGAGAGACTTTGTTTATGTCAGAAGCTGGAGTCTGTTTTTGGTGGTGAGGGAAACCTCCCAGACACAGGTGGTCAGAAGTAACTAACATGACTAATATCTACAGTATTTACATTGTTTCAGCTTGCCTTTAGAGGACTAAATCAAACCTACAGGCCAGATAAAGTATTCATATGAGCTCCAGCTAAAACATGTGGTACCTTTTCATCCGGCATGTTGCTGCGGACATTGTCCAGATATGCGCTGACGTCGTCCACGTTGGTGTAGCGCAGCAGGATCCGAGCGAAGTCCTCCTCACTGATGGTCGGCATTCCCTTTGAAAACGATAGAAACTCCACTTCCAGCATTTCTGTCTGGAGGTCATCCATGAATCTGCAGACCACAATACAGTCCACTAAGCACTAAGCACTTTAGACGATCAGCTCAGAACAGACGGATACGCACTTGTAAAAGTCTTCAAATTTCAGCTCTGCTTTGCCCTTTTTACCAAAGAAATGGACCAGGAGTGTGGTCTCTGCTTTGTCGTCCACAGACTAATGATGAAAAAGAGGAGAATCATATAGTCAATGGAACATTTTACGTCTGAAGCGCTTCAAAGTTTACACACCCAGGCAGAAATGTAAATTATTGTCACTCATCGTTACTGGTTGAGGTCTAAAAATCTTCCTTTTTAATCAGGCCTACTAGGGAGCTTATGAGCTTTAACCCCTTCATGTTTCTTTTTGATATTTTATGTACTCCTGATGTTTTTGTTTTGTTTTGTTTGTTTGTAGCATTGTATTTTAATTTGTAGCACTTTGAGGTTTCCTAGAAATGCAAGGTGCAATATGAATAAAATGTATTATTACTTTTATTATTGTTGTTCAAAGCCATTTATAGTCAAATAAACTTGTTTTCTATTATCCTGATAAGAACTGTCCATCTCCCAATCCTCAATAGTGTTTGACATCTATGACAGCTTAGAGTGTTTCTGAGTGAGGTTCTTTATCTTCTCTTATGTCTATTCCTGGGCCGCCTTGCATGGGCTACATTTGCAGCTCAATTATGTTATAATATATAAAGCCTGTAACAATATATGGCTTCGCACCACCATAAACAATAGATGTTTGTGTTATTGTTCAGAATATTACCAGAATATTATCTATGGCTGGGTGTGTAAACCAAGCAGCAGTCTCTAATTTCCTTATTCTTGCTGCTTTTCTGCAACATTGTTTCTGACCAAAATGCACATGCCATTCCCGCGTTTATCACTTTTTGCTTAGGGAAAATGAAGGTCCAAACTGATCTAAAACAACACGTGAACCCTGGAGCGTGCAAAAGCAGGTGGACTCTTGCTTACAGTATATTTGATGGACATTAGCCCTGGCTGAATATTAACAGTACCATGTTTTATCCAAGCGGCAGGTTAATAGACAGAGGCAGATCAGCCATTTACACTGTTAGTCGTTAATGTTTCACAGAGGCTTCATCTGCCGCAAACGCTTCACATGCTGCAAACTCACTGTCGAGGATCAGAGGGGCTGATGGGAGAAATGGCTGTTAGCTACAATATTGTGTACATGTAATTCCTTTATCAATCAATAATAGGACAGGCGAAAAATTAAAGACGCAAGTATAGGGACAAGAATGTTTTTTTACTCAAAGAAAGTTACTCTATTCCTAGTGTGTCCAACCAGTTTTCACCCTGAGAGCTACTTTCCCGGGACGATAAAGGCAGAGAGCTACTCCTTTAAGCATCCCTGGGGGAAAAAATGTGATATATTGGTGTGAACAAGCCTGATATTGGGAACAGTCATCATTTTAGCATATTTTTTTGCATAATCATTGCATATTTGTTACTAGTGCACAAAGTAAGTGAAATATGAAGTATATAAATGTATTTGTTCCTTTCTAAATCTTTTGGCGAGCTACAGGTTGGAGACCCCTAATCTATTCTGTAAATCATCAAATATAAGGTCTATTCTACCAGAAGAGCCAACCTTTGGGGCATATTTATTAAGAGGTTATGTTTGTTTATCTTTTGTATACTTGTAGAAAACAGCCCCTTGACGTTTTTGGGCTATAGTGACATGAATTTTATTACCAAGATGAATGGTTTTTTGGTGTGTGTGTAAAGTTAAATACCCCTGCTTTAGCATTAGAGCAAACTTTACACACAGTTTTTCACCAGCATGATAAATATACCTGTTTTAGTATTATTTTAGGATTTTATTAAACTTTATATTCATTACATTATTCCAGTGGTTTTCTTTTTGACACTGGTCGGTTGGCAACACCGCATGTCAAAGAAGTGATATACGAACATTGAAGGCTATAAAATTGTGAAAAGATATTCTGGAGTCCGCATCTACCTCCGTGAGATCAGAAAACATCACTTGACTCGTGTTGCGTTTGAGAGCGTCCCACATGCCTCTGTCCTCCACATGCCCAGGGCCTCTAGCAAGAACCTGCTGTAGCAATCCAAGCAAACGTTAGCACAATCGTTAGCACAATCGTCTCAATATGCACTTCAAAAACTCAGAGGATAACATAAAGATAAGTGGCTGGGGGACAGAGAGTGACTGACAGAAGGGAGGGGATATGACAAAGTGGGATCTGAGGTTTTTTGAAGGTTTCAATGCCAAAACATGTATCGTCAACTTTCTTCTTCAACATGACCTTAAAGCTGGGGTACCTAATTTTTCATAAATAACACACATTGTTTGTACCAATAGAAAGAATCTTGTGAAAATTAAAAGGTTGTGAACACACCAGATAACAGAAAACATGGTATATATTTGTGAAAATGAGTCCTGTGAGTCCCTATGACACCGTTTTGTCTGAAAAAGCAGATCTAAAGTGGTGATAGAGGCCAAAAATACATGGAAGCGAAAACTAGTTCCATTTAATTCATTTATTCTTGTATAGCCCTAAATAAAAACAATAGTTATCTCGAAGGACTTAACAAAATAGTTGAATTCGCCAACACAGATCAGAGAATCTAACAGTTGAAACACAGGAAAGAGTGATATTAATCCATAAGTCGCAGATGACCAATGTCCATAAGTGTTGATAAATGTCCATAAGTGTTGATAAATGTCCATAAGTGTTGATAAATGTCCATAAATGTTGTTGGACAGTGACTGAATCAAACTGCTTATTTCTTTGTGGTTCGAAAGTGTGGTTCCCCAGCTTCAAAATAAGCAAACAAAGAATCGAGCAGACCTAATATAAAATTACACCATAAGGATGAATTAAAACAATGCAGTATGTAACCTGCACGTGTTGTCTTTTCTTTGCTGGAATTGCGATTTGGTTTGACAGGTGTGTCATATGGCCCACCCCAAACTGACAGCGAGCCAGAGTCAGACAGGCAGATGCAGCGTGGGACACGAGGGGCTGCAGTGGAGCGTGGCTTCTCCTGGCACTGGCCTCAAACACATGTCCAAAATTGCAGCGAAACAGGGACGAGACCAGACGCAGACCTTTCCATGCATTTTACAACCTTTAACAGTATATCAGTGCGGATAAGTGAAAACAGTCTTTGACAAAATTCAGTAGATTGAGAAAACAGTATAAGATTAATCCTCTTCCAATAATTGCAAGAAAGTTACTAGAAAAAACTAAACAGACAAAGTTGAGATTTTAGTTTTGACTCAAGATCATACCTCAAATAGTAAGTAATAGGTAAGAAAACCCTAACCCGGTCTAAAATGTATGCTTAAACTGTCAAATAATTGCTTTTCTTGCATTTTAGAGCTCAGCATTACTTCTAAATTATTATTTAACCCTTTGATTACTGGTGCTCTCCAAGAAAAGTCTTCCCAAATGTAAAAAAAACTTCAACTCAAATAGGCAATATGAGGAATTGTTTACTAAAGTGTTTACATTTGAGAATTACACGCAGCTGTTAACTAAACCATATCGCCAGAGATTTTTGATGTCTGCTGCTTTAAAACGAAACTAAAATACCAATGTAATAAACGGCATGGAAAAAGCTCTTCTTTAAATAGTTGTTAATTGGATTCTATCGGATATGTATCTTTCCCATTCAGTGTTTGTCTTTCTGCCCGAGGCGTGAGCGATGATACAAATGAAGACAGATTTACGACAAGAAACTGCTAATCACTGACAGCGCCATAAAATACTCGATACGATTCCATTGAGAGCTTGTTCAGTATAAATCAAAGGGGATTTCCCACCACACGGGACCAGAGATGGGTAGAGAAGACAACTATACTACAGAAAAATGATAAAATATGGGGTAATAATTGCTTGAATCGAGTGGTTTTAATCTTAAAGGTGTATGGGATGATTTTCCACTTCCGGGTGGATCATCAAGACTATTGGTCCTCCCAACTGTCAATCATTCTGGTGATATGTGCTCGTCAAATAAGAATCCTCCTTTATAACTTCAATCTGAGTACATTGGGACAAAGCTATTTAGTTTTATTTCAAGAACTGTTGATTTATTTTCTTATTCCAAGATAGAAATGTCTTGTTTCTTAGATCATTTCCCCATTGGCAAATCGTGTTTTAAAGTAGTCAAATGTGCTCAAATTAAGATACATTTAGCCAATTCTGAGACATTTTTGAATTATTTTTTGCATTTTTTTTGCAGTATTTACTCAAGTAAAAATTTTTTAGATGTGTTGCCTAATGATACTTACAACAACATTTGATAAAAACAAAGTATATGGTGCTGACATTGGGAACCGTCGGAAAACAAAAATATAACTTTTGAACTTGTGCTTCCAGGCTAGAGAGAAATCAAAACACAGAAGACACTCCTCGAAAATGATCTTCTCCCAAAAACAAAAAAAAGTTGGCGCTTTCACTGTCAAAGCCATGACAAAAAGTAACTTAAGCCCCAAATTCCACCACAAACTGTAATAATAAAACACGGGGGTCCTGGAGAAGCTGTCAGTCTTGGGGCTAAGAGCATTGTGAAGTGGTCCGTTGATGACTAGACGGGGCCTGAGCATAAATCATGCACAAAACAGCCAGAAAAATGTGTCAAATAAAGCAGGGGGGAATGCTATGGGATGTTTCAGTGGTCGTGAATGGGGTGGATAAACACAGGCCCTGGGTTAAACAGTACATGTGTGGCATTGGGAATAAGCAGAGATTACATGTTAGAAAGGCGCATGCGAAAAGGAGACAGAGGGGAACGTGCTTTGATACATACGGCGGGCTGGAGAGGTTTGCGATGGCCATAAAGCTGTAGAGTCTGAAAAAAAATGTTTGCATGAAATTAATTGCAAGAAGAAATATGTGTTGATAATTTTTTTTGGATTTTTTTCTCATTACTTTTATCCATGACAGATCTATAATTACATTAGATACATATTTTTTATAAAAGAAAAAAAAACATACAGGAAAACACAGCAACATCCGACATGGACACCCAATAGAACACACAGAATAAACACAAAAACAACAACTTGTTTGTATATATTTCAATAGCATTCAATAGCATAGCACCTATTTTAATTCAGTTGTATTTGTTTTAGCCCTAAGACACTTTCGTTTATCTCTTGTTTTTCAGTCTCACATCCAATTTCTGAAAAAAACTGGTTTCAACCTAATCAAAGTTTCATGTCTTCAAACTAAAGACATTTTCTATATTTTAGCGTGACGAGATAAGTCCTTTTTGACGTGCACCGGTACGTTCACTCGTCTTCATACATGTTTAAACCATCGCATTCTGTAAAACGCTATCTCTTTCACATCTGACGTGATCTGTTCTTTTGATAGAATCTTAATCCAACTTTCCTCGTCATGAACAGACAGAACAGGCGCTTCTGACGTGAATATAGTTCTCAAAACAAGAACGACAGAGCTTTATTCTATCCAATCCAACCGTAAAGAAGTGACTGATCTGTAATAACATTTACTATAAGTCGCCATGTCCCGCGAGAATCTAGTTAGCCACATTCAGCGAGCACTTTGGAACAATATTGACGCTGATGATTCACAGGTCCTTCGAGATTTCAGACAAACTCATATTAGAAAACAAAGTCAAAAGTTACAAGGACAGAAAATAGTTAAATAATCTTGATTTCAGTGGAATCAACTCGAGACGAAATGCAGATGGAATGGTGTCACAAGACTTATTTGACAAGCTAGTTTTCAGACCTGTAGATGCAAAGTTGCCTTATTTTTGTCTTTTGTAGATTCTACACTAAAATGTATTAAAAAACCGTTTATCAATCAATACTAAAGCTACTCAGCGTCATCAGTGGAATATGCAAATACATTCCTTTGCCTGTTTGCAGCATCATTTTACATGTAAAAAAAAAAAAAACCTGGGGCCTCAAATATAAAACAGGGCCTCAATTAAATTTGCTATTTATGAACCAACAACCTTAGAAATAAGTGATTTGGTCAAAATACTGTGATGTGTTTGTGCTACAACTTTCAGGACAGAAGGGACAAAACATGATCAGAGAAGAGTGCAAGTTTGTTGTAGTAGTTGTTTTTGTGTTTTTGTACGCACAAAAATATATGTAAAGTGTTATCAATAGGGCCTCTTTTCCCTTTGTATTGTAGCGTTTATTTCAAATTTTAAGTGGGAAATTGCTTATTTCATATAGAGTAGAAGATGGTTGTATGCATCCTCTGTAGGAAAAACTCAACCCCTTTCAACCATGTATTAACTTTTCTAGTGGAAGCATTGGCTGTGGTTCCTGTTTAGAGCGACACCGTGGAAAGTGAAATCTTTGTCTCTTTTCAATTGAAACACATCTGTTCAACCAATGGGTGTAATTTTGCCTGTTCCATATGGAGAATACCTCAAGCCGATCTCGCAGTAAGCCCATTTGGACACCCCTTGTTGTGATACCGCGGTGTATTCCCAAATCTTGAGTGTGTATTCTAATAATCTTTTTGATGACGATGCGGGCCGGGTCTCGGGTGGCGTTCGGCAGATAAAGACCTCAAAGCTCCGGCTCTTATCGCGGCGCTGGTCTGTTTACATCCACCGGCATCAGGCTCCGGGCCCCACCAGATGAAAGAGGGGCAAGTTTCACCCTGCTCCACGGCACTCACCTCTGCCTCGTCCAGGGAGAAAATGATACAACTCCGACTATAGCTTTGCACACGTTTGAGTTTTCGCAGATCGTGTGACACCAGAAATGGTAGGAATCGATACGGAGTGCATTCTTTCGGACTTGAAGCTATCAGAGCATATCTTTACCCTGCATAGGCCTAGTACAATGCCCTTAAGCCATTGTTCTAGCACTTTCTATTCCACTATACACTTTTTTCATATTTAATGACTATTTTTGATGGCCTTCTAGAGTTTGGTTTGCTTACGTATGGCCTTGAGTATGGAGTGAATCAATAATGCCATGTGAATCTTTTTGGGTGTCATCAAAAGCACTATATAAGAACTATTATCATTATCATTGTTTTTATTAGCATTACTATAGCCTGGTCGTACCACACCATAGTACAAATAACATTTCGTACTTAGGTCTGGAGGTGCTCCACTGAGCTCCGTTTACAGGTGGGAGGGGTTAACTCCTTTTGCAGATTGAAACGATTGGATCTGAGTTTACTGTCATGTATGTAATGCGCCCGAGTGAGTCGTTAGCATTTAGCATTTAGCCTAGCCATCTCCTTTGCCGCTAACGGAGCCCGTGGGGAGTAGCGCCACAATTTATTCTAGCGATTACATTTGCTAAACATTACTCTTGCTCTGGCTTCAATTTCTTGATAGAACCAGACCGGATTACTTTACTAATGCATTTTTCGCCATTGCCAAACTACAACCTGCCCATTTGACGCAAACTCTTGACATCGCCCACAACTAACTACAACACCTGCCTTCCGCGCTCTCTGAATGGTCGGTCGAAATTCAACCGATTGTAATTGCTAACAAAGGGACTAGACCCAGACGTTACATGCAGTGAAATGATGATTGAACGGAGTGTACGGATGGCTAAGGCCAGGCTAGCATTACTATTATTGTTATTATTATTATTATTATTATTATTATGTGTAAATCAGATAAATTCTGATTTGACAAACCAAAGTATACTATAACTTGGATTTCATTATGATTATAGCATTTATTAAAACATCTTATTAGCAATTCAACTAAAAGTGTAAAATCATTTTTGTAGCACTGAACAATACATACCTGCTCATCAACCTTTCCACCGCCCTCTATTACTTCCTTTTTCTCCTTTTTCTTGCGGAAAATTTCTTCAAGCTAATAAATAAAAGGACAAAAAAGTGAAAAAGACATTTGAGACACTAAAGATTTTCAACAAATAACAACACTGTACCACTAAGAATTCCCTTTTATCAACCATTTCATTTCCATCTGCATCAAACATGTTGAAGGCAATTTTGAATCCAGCGTGAGGCTCTGAAAGCAAACAAGACAATGTTCAATTATGCTTCTTCAGGGGTTAAAAGGATCCGACACTGACTTGTTAAAATGCAGATGAGAAAGAGGTATTCTGTGTAGCTGATGACACCTGGAAGAAAGAACATGAAAGTCTTAAATCCACAGAGAACAAGAATCTTATATAAGATTAAACAATGGGATGGTTACAATTGTGGTCAGGATTCTCTCCATGGTCATAAAACACCGCTTCATCTTTCAAAATCAACCAAAGGATTTGTCAATGTGTGGTAATTGTTAAATTCATTTTTGTGCAGTGCAGCTGAGTTTAGAAGTGAACTTAGGAACTGACAGTGGTGATGATCCAGGATATTTTCAATTGTAATGTATTAACATCATTCGGCCCCTATAGACGAATGGCTCCTACGTATTTGTTAATAATAACTTTGTTCCAACTGATTCTCCAATCTGTGTTGGCGAATCAGTAACATTGCAAGGTCCTCCAAGCTGACTACTGTTGTGATTTAGGGCTATTCAAAACTAAATGTAATCTAATTGAATTGAACTTTTGTAAAACTTTGATCTAAATGATCATACTTTCTTACAACGCTTAATATCTTGTCTGAACTTTTAAAAGGAGCGTAATCTAAAAATTCCACTTTTCACAGATTTTGACTAAGTTTTCCCTTGTCAATAACACGCTCACATCGTTTTTTAGAGTGAGCAAAGTGCCCTCCTGAATAAGCCCTGTCTACAAACAGCACACCTCAGCACTGGAGTAATGTGTTCTCTTCCTCTGATAACATCTTTAAAAGGTGCCTTTGACTTCATGCTTTGGTGTCTCCATTCACACAAAACGCCGAGCTGACCCCTTCCAACGTTAACCCAAACAAATTTAAGATCCACGGCCTCTGATCCTGTTTGGTTAACAAGGTGTAGGACATTTCCGAGCCATTCGTCACTGATTGAAAAAGAGCAATCCGTGTTTTCTTGTTTTGTTTGTGTTGCATCTTTCAATCCTTCAGCTCCTTTTGTTGCGGGACGAGGCGACGGGAAGGGTAAGTGTCAGGGAGATCTAGGAGTATTATTGGAGGATTCTGGCCCCTGCCTCTGAAAGCACTATCCAGCCTTTGTTGGAGCTCAAAGATAAAGAATAGAGGTTAGATAGTTCTGGGTGACTGCTCCTTGTGCTATGGGAAAAGATCTCGAGAAGGACTTCAAGAAAAATACCTCAGAAAAACAAGTGAAGCAAGAAAAGTCTCCAGTTGTATTTGTTGTTATCGTATTTTATAGTCTGTGAGTCCTGTTTTAGCAACAATGAATTACATTTGACAGGAAAGCTCTCTCCCCATCAGCCATGGTTCATTTTGTTACAATGTGGTTTTACTGCAAATGGCAAATAAATTATTGAAAGGTATTCATTTTTTTTTACAAAGAATGATCTCCAGGCTACGGAGGTTTATCGCATTCATTGTTTGGGTTCAATTAACTGGAAATATTAAAGCTATTGAGCCCAATCTGCACAATTCCTTATCATGTCTGTAGATATTTTCATTGTTTTTCTATCTTGAGTGTAACAATAATTGTATAGGAATAATATTGCAATGACGATACTTAAAACGTTTAGTGAGAAAACACTGATTTAAAAGGACATAGGTCCAATAATGTCTAATAAAGGTGAAACGTGATATATCAATGTCCCATAAGACATAAGCCCCTCTGCTCTTTCCTTTCTCCCCCCCCCCTCTCTCTGCTCTCTCTCCTTCTCTCTGTTTCTTTAGCTAAGTGCCAGTCCTGGGATTTGGCCCTTTTAATCCTGCCGTTAAACGCTGTGGCTTTGTGGAGGAGAGAAGGGCCAGGACTGATCTGGGAACAAAGCTCTTGTTCAGTGACTGAGGGGGCCGTTTGAACCCGGTTATGTTTGAGCTTGTCCCGCCGGCCGCCCCCCCCCCCTGATCAGCGCAGGACATTGTCAAGCCCCGGATCGGCGTTGAGTTACCTCTCCGGGACAGCAGCGCGCTATGAAGTGTTTCAGAGGAATTCTTTGTATTGTCTGAGAACATCTACTTTAGGGTGAGATGCAGAAGCAGAGAGAAGGTGTGTGGCATTGCACAGGAATCTTCTTGAATGTGTCCTCCCTCCTCCTCCTCCTCCTCCTCCTCAAAACCCATTTAAGCTTTAAGGTCTTTGAAGCTAAAGATCTGTTGTCATTTTGAGGCTGTACCTGCCAAACAACAGCGGGATGAAAAGGCGTGCGAGCGTTTGTTGTTGTCGGGGAGTTTTTCAAATGAACTTTCCCGAATGGTATGCATCAGAGGAATTCTTCACCGCTGGCTTGCGACGTTCCCAAAATGTACTTCTGTTTATTCGAGCTGCACAGATAAACCCCATCTGTGCGGCTGATGTTCTGCTGATTAACCTTTTATGGATTTCATTCCAGCTCCAAATGTTATGTCAGATCTGTTAAGTCACTGGAGTTAGACCTTTTTCTATTCATGTAGTTGTCTGGTGCACACTGGGGACTTTTGCGCATGTATTCCAATGGGGTTTTACTACAAAAATGACAAATAAAATTAATCCGTCTCTGAGTTAATCAATACTATTTTTTGTTCTAGTATTGCTTAAGGAATCCTATTTTCTTGCGTGTAATTCCAATTCTAATTGTTTGGACACAAATGAAAATAAATCGTTGTAAACTGTAGCTCGTGAAAGGACGCAGGGAGACTTGATTCTTTAATGCAAAATTGTACCATGTGCTTCCACCTTCAATGTTAGTGGTAATCAATGACAGCCAACCCTCAATCCCACTGTGCAAAAACACAACAATTTTGACCAAAAACCGGGATGTGAATATTCTGAACAAATATAGCGGTGATTTAAACAAACAAAAAGACCAAACTGCTTTATAGCCTGCTGCTTACATGTGGGTCAGGGGACAATACTTAATGACGCCGTAACAAGCCGTGTAACAAGAGTGAAGCTCAGATCATCAAAGTTTGGGTTTTTGCACATGCTGCTCTCTCCTTTATAAAGTTGTGTTTGTTTTTCATTGCTCCATAGGGATGATGAGATTGCCCTGGTCCATTATAATGTGATTCTCTGGGTCCAGGGTGCACTAATAAACTTAAACTTAAACTGTGATTTTAATGTTTATGTAGATTTTAATGTTGATGATTTATGCCTGGTGTGATATGGGTTGTGAGGTGCTTTGTGTTGCCTTGTGTAGGGAAGGTGATCTACAAACAAAAGTTGATTGATTGATTGATTTTAGAAGAGTTGGAAGATTGCCATTTCAACAAGTTTTGCAAAACGCGGGACAAACCCTAATATAATACGTTTAGTAGCATGACATGTATCTAAAACTATACTATAAAAGAACAGGTCCTCACGTTTCTATATTCAGTCCCACCATATTGGTCTGTGCTCTTCCCCTTTAACAAAAATGACAAAGCAAAACAAGAGAAAAGATTGTCAAAGAACAAAGTAAGTGAAAATCAATGGTGTTTTGGGTTTAAAAAAAGCTAAACTACTCCAAAATGCCACTGAAAACCACTTTGGGTTAGCGGAAAGTCGCCTTTTCTGAATTCTGGTCACAGGCGTGCAGATTTTATGGGAGTTTCTAACATTGTAATCAGTCATATTTGGAAGAAGCCATATCCATTTCATCTCAACAAATATGAATTTACAAAGCTGATATCAAATGCCATAAATACCAGTAGTACCGTGTGACACTTCTCATTTTAAGTATTTACTTCACAACATGACTGAAACAAACATGAAGCGACCAAAGTTTATTCTCCATTTGATCCTGTGCGTGTAATGAGTTTGCATTTCTGCCTGAGCAGCAGGTTACACAGACCGGTCCCTTCTCAAACGTTATGTGGCCAGACTGATCTCTGATAAGATAGCATTTATAGCACACATTTTCCCAACCCTCATAGAACAAACATGGCGGCTTAAGCTGAAAAATAAAGAGAATTAGAGACATTAAAGGCTTTGAGAGAGCTGTTTTTTTACCTCGTTCCCTGAGATTTCGGAACAGGTTGGATGATCCTTTCCAAATAGGAGGAGTATCGGACAGAATCTTGTCTAATTCCTGGAAGAAGAGAAGAAAGCCGACATCACACGTTGCAAAAGGAGGATCCACACAAACAGGCATTAAAGAGATTTGTACATAAGATCAAGCACGATTCATGTTGTCATTTCAACTGAGACTGTGTTATGAAGGGAAAGTATTTGAACAAACCAGAAGGATGCAGCAGTAGCTTATTTACGTCAAGATAAATGTCGTCAATCACTGATAACACAGGAGCTAAGATGCTAATGGCTCTGCTGCCACATTAACACAATTGTAAATGAGGACACATGATTAATGAACAAAACTGGATAATAAACTGGCTTTGTTAAATCAATTATTCTTATATCGAAAGAAGCGACAATAACGTTGGGTTTTAATTATTTGTAATTTGAGTGATGCAACATGGTATATGCTCCAATGACTCGAGAAGTCAAATGTGCTTAGAAGTCATATGAATTAACATTTTGTCTGTATATACATGTTTCAAATAAATAAATGAATACTGCAAATGGAAAATAAAAAGTATCTGAATTTTAAATACAAAATGCAAATACAAAAAAGATGATATTGCAGGAAGAGGTCAGACTGTATAATTCTATGCCACTAATTTCCTTTTGTATTCAACTATTGCCAATTGCATTTTGGGTGTTTCTTAGAATAAAATATTTGGTATGGGTTTTTTTATTTATTTTAAGAATTAGCTTCAAATGATGTACAACATGCCAAAGTCGCACATGCAACCAACCAGTCAACCAAGATAATGCTCAAAAATGTTGTAGAAAGGGGCAGGCAACGTGGCATTCTTTTCCACAATTATTTGAAGTGCTCAGTTGGTAGAGCTCTGGTCTTTGGACCTAATGGTCGTGGGTTCGAATCCACCACGACCCATTTTATCTGCTCCCACTGATGTCTGCTGTCGTTGTGTCCCTGGGCAAGACACTTAACCCCACATTGCCTGAAGCTCCCGCTGAAAGACCAAGGCCATATCTTCAATCACGGAGAAGCCATCATCCCGTGGCAGCGCTAATTGCCACCCCCCCCCCCCGACCCAGAAATGGAAATAAGGGGTAGAAAATGAAATGACAATCGTAGTATGTTGTGTGAGTGTGTGTGTGAATGAATACCTACAAACATATTTACAGCTATTGCATTTATTTTGAGTTATTTTATTCATTACAGCATAATGCTCACTGCAACACTTACAGATGGGATTATTACTTCTTATATCTTCTCTTAGTTTATTGAATTTATAGACTTAATTTATTACTTACCCATTTATGTGCTCATTAGTCAACAAGAAACAAAATAATCCACATGTATCATTTTTGCAATTATATGAGAGCTGACTCTTTGGGCGCCAGAGTTGTTCAGAAATGTTATGTGAAACAAGAAAAAGGTGGAACCCTGGAAATGTATAATACTGAAATGATGTGAATATTGAACAACAACCTTTTTAGTGAGGGACCTCCATCCTTTTCGACCTAAACAGAAAAAAGACAACAGTAAGAATGAATGAAGTCAATATAAATAGTGATTAAAAGTGAAAGCAGTTGTTTACATGGACACATCCCTGAGAGCAGTCCTCAATAAAGAGATAACACACACTCATAAAGTCACAGGAGCAGGAGTCAATAACCGCTCAGTCACACAGACACAGGCCTCGCTGACAGGAAGTGCAGCTGCTCCGCTTCAAAACACATTTCTGTTTGCGTGGAAGTAAGCAACTATACACACAAAGTGGCATTTACTTGAATAACTTTTACTTGAATATCAAATGTGTCTTGATCAGGTAAAATGTTGTCAAAAAATGTCATCTTAATGGATAACTTTTCATCTTTTAAATGTTTGTTCCCCACTGTGGGAGGATGAAAGGATCTCTTAGTCTTCATACTGAGAGCTGACTGACTAAGTGCGGGGAAAATATATGTAGGTGAAAACTAGTGATTAAGCCGAACTGTTTTGAGAGCAAGGAAATATTCATCCATCTGTTTTCTTTTGCTTTATCCACTGCCGGCAGCTACGGACAAGTTACATGAATTTTACATACAGGTAGTGTTTTGTGGTTTCAAAGTTACGTACTCCAGCTTCAATTCAATTGCACTTCTGCTAAGTGACTCATGCGTTACAACATTAAACATTTGTGTTTCTTGCTCCACTTTTGATTTTGATTCCATTATCCTCCTTTTTGAGTCTATCCCTTGAAATCACAAAGTAATCATATTCAAGAGATTTTACTAAAACAAAAAGTACAATGGCCACTGTGCTCTTCTCTGTGAAGCTACACACACAGAGACACACACACACACAGACACACACAGAGACACACACAGACACACAGAGATACACACACACACACACAGACACACACAGAGACACACACACACACACAGAGACACACACAGAGACACTCAGAGACACACACCCAGACACAGAGACACACACAGACACACACAGAGACACATACACGGAGACACACACAGAAACACACACAAAGACATACACAGAGACATACACACAGAGACATACACACAGACATACACAGAAAGACAACCACAGAGACACACACAGAGACATTTAGACACACACACAGAGACACACACAGACATACACTGAAAGACAACCACACATAGACACACACAGACACATACAGAGACAAACACAGAGACAAACGGAGACAAACACAGAGACACACAGAGACACACACAGAGACACACAGAAAGACACACAAAGACATACACAGACACACAGAGACATACGCACACACACACACACACAGGATGACAATCACAGAGAGACACACACAGACACATACAGACACACACAGACACACAGAGACATATAGACACACACAGAGATACACACAGACATATAGACACACACAGACACACACACACACACACACACACACAGAGACACACACACTGGAACTTTTAGGCCGATGGATACACTGATATATCAATGGAGCTCTTATCTAAAGTGTGGAATGAGTGACCTCACCGGGCACTGGCGTTACAGTTAAACTTTTACAATGCCTAATGTTGAAATAATGTGTGTAATTAGCAAAATGGCAGCCGTAATATAGTCATAAAAGTAGATACCCTCTGTGTCAGCACGTAAATGTTCATGTTTTGACAGGGCACACCTTTCCCGTCAGTCGTCCTAAACTTGTAAAATCTGAAGAGAATATTCGTTTTGTAGTGTTTATGGCAGGGGTGTCCAAACCAGGGCCCAGGGGCAAAATGCGGCCCTAAAATCTATTTCCTCAGACTTAATTCAACTGTTGTGATTTTAGGATACAAGAATAAATTGAATTGAATTGAACTGGTAAATTAACCCACTTATAAATGAGAATGTTAAAACCCTTTACCTTTATAACATCAGTGTTTTGCGTGTATTTCACCAGGTTTGTCATTCATGATACAATACTGAATGCAGCTGTAATAGTATTTGTGGTGCTTGTGGTTTTTCGCTTCATCTTTGTTTGAATATGAAAAAGTTTGGGCACCCCTGGTTGATGGCCTCCGGTTGTTTGGTCTTTGTCTAAATGAGCCATAGAAGTGGGGTTACTGGTAAAGATGAGTATCTACAGTACCAACAGAACATGCAGGTGTTATGACTGAACTATTTGCAGACGCTGACTTTGTGATTCGCTGAGCAAGAGTAGTGCTCTGTTTTTCACATTTCTATAAGAGAAGGCTGATCCAAAGCAGCTTATGAAAACAAGTGGTAGTGACTTAAATTGCTTTAAAAGCTCTAGTTAAAGGAATTTTATTAAATATTTCCAATGGTTGTGTGGCAAAATCAGTGTTGGGGAATGAAGTACCTTAGATATGAAAACAACACATGCATGTATTTAAATCATGTAAAAAACATTTGTTCAAAAGTTGAGTTACTTGTATAGGTATTGTACGTATATTTTATAAATCATTTGGAGGATGCATGCCTTAATATACATAGAACACTATTGAGCTGATAAAATACAAAAATAATTGGCTAGATAGATAGATAGATCATAAAGATAATAGTCTGCAATGAAATGAGCAAAGGCCATGCTGGAAATAGTCCTGTAGTATTACTGAAGGTGGAAAACAGATCAGATATGGCCTGGGCAAAACAAAGCCAAGATGAATAATGACCCATGTATAGTAGTATAATATGTATGTAGTACAGTATGTATAAGTACAGTAATATGTAGTATTGTGTATGAACAAAGGGAAGCTGCAAAGAACATGGTTTTCTGAGTCTGGTTTTAAAGTGGGTTGGGTTCTAAATATAATTAAGTAAAAAGCTTACAGCAGTAAATTATAGTGAAAGTATTGATGTGTGGAGTCAGAGTCAGCAGAAGAACAGAACGTGCTGCTCTCATTAGATCCTATAATGAAATATAGACTGTTTGTGTAGTGCCGAAACACTAGACTAAAGCTGAATGTTTTATCTGATCACACTTCTCTCTGATGAGGACTATAATTACATTTGCATATACAATGTTTTAAAACCTTGGTGTTAGCAGTTTTGAGAAATAATACTTATAAATAAAGGGTGTAACTTGGACAGTCTTTGCGTTCAGCCATCTCCTTATTGAGACTATCCTCCAACCTCACACTGACTAAGCACACTTTAAAGACGGTGGTAAAGGTTTTGAAAACTACACACAAGTCACACAAAGGACAGTACTTTGCAGCATATTGACAGCTTAACAAGCCGTGCAACAGGAGTGAAGCGGAAAAAGTATGTTTGAAAATGTATGTATTTTTCCACATTGGTGATAATCTTGTTGAAGTACATTATAATGCAATACCCTGTGCTGTGACTTAGAAAACTAAAGTCCCAAAACTTAAACTTCCCACTGTTGTCCAGGGTTGACACGGCATTTCGACACGGGTCACAAAATGCAGGTCTGTGGTAGGGTATTCTATTCAATTCAATTCAATTTACAAAAACAATTCTAAAGTGGTTGATTGTCCAACACAGATCAGAGAATAAAACCATTCAAACACAGGAAATGCAATGATAAAAAACACATAAGGGGCATATGTCCATAAATGTCCATAAATGTCCTTAAATGCCATGGATCATCACCACTGTCCTTAGATTCAAAAAACAGTGGGTGAAAAATGGGGGTGAAAAAATGATTTTAAACTGCATACATGACCCCACCATTGCATTCATAATAGGAGCTACTACACATGAGATCTGTGGCACTCTGTAATCTATAGAGTGATATGAAATGTGATGCACTTCCTGTTATGGTTTTAATGTAATCGATAGAGCATTAACCTATTGGAAACATCAGATAGCAAAGCATTCTCCTCAGAGGTCCTCGCAAACACACGCAGAGAAGCAGAAGAGAGCTCACTTTTGGGTTGGTTGAGAGTGACGGATTCGATGAAGTTGAGAGGAGTCATAAAGAGCTGTCCGTCGTGTTCAATGGAGCTGAAGAGTCTGAACCGGTTTTCATAGGACGACTTGTAGACCTCACCAACCACCAGACGGGGACTGCCAGGCTAAAACACACAAAACATGTTTACAGGCAGGCACAGCAAAAAATGATGGAAAATAAGTCAAAACATTTTCAAATTTGGCTAAATGTATCTTATTTTATGCACATTCTGAATGCATTAAAATGAGATTTGCCAATGAAGAAAAATTATCTTGTTTTAAAAAGATACAAGAAATGTCTCCTTTGGGATGAAGAATTAAAGCAACAGTTCTTGAAAAAAGACAAAATGGCTTTGTCCCAGTGGTGACTCTTGTTTTAACACAGTCAGAATTTACTCAAATTAGGAGAAAAACCACCTGAATCAAGCAATTATTACCTCACAAATTATCTCTTTCTGGAGTGTAGTGAAAGAACAGGCTCAAAGAAAAACGGTCATCTACTAATAGCGTAAGGAAATGGTTAAAAAAAAAAAAAAAAACAGAAGGCAGCTATGAATAATCGCTTTAATTACAAAAATGTATTCTCAAGCTAAAAAAAGTGTATTTACTTCTTCTATATGTTTTAATATGTTTTTAATTAGTTTGTTTATTCATTGTTGTTGGTCCATTCCATTCTCAATTTCTAAAGATGCACTAATTGCATAGTATTAGTGAGAGTAATATTGTTAAGATCAAATTAAAGCTGGGGTACCTAACTGTTTTCATAATCATGCTTTTGTGTTTGTCCCATCAGAGACAGTCTTGTAAAGTAACATGGTATACTTTGCACGTACTTGTAAAAATGATCCCTGTGAGTCACTATTTGACGCTTTGGGTTGAAAGTTGATTGGCTGTAAAAGGGTAGTCCTCACATTTTTGTCTTTAAGGCCAAAAAAAGCTGATTTAAAGAAGTGACAGAGGTCAAAAATACAAAACTAAACTTTTTTGGGAACTAAAGTTAGATGGTTGTAGTTTGAAAGTCAGGTACCCCAGCTTTAAGTTGTTTCGAAATCTGGTCTTTCTTCTGGTCTCGCATAGTATAAAATCAGTTCCACCGTCTTTCTATCTTAAACATTTTTTATGACACAACAGTAATAACATTGCTGTGGTACATTTTCCTGGTAACCAAATAACTTAACCTACTGAGAAGACAAGGCGAACCTTCCTAGACTCACATGAAAAAAAAAATCTGGCTCGCGGGACAGTAGTTCACTAATGGGATGCGTGCGAGTCTTGCTGGGCCTTTTTTTCTTCGCCGTGCTGTAGATAATGTCCCTACAAATGTTCAGATCAGAGGCTGGGGCAGTGTGGAGAGAGGGGATCTCTCTGTGAGGTGGCACTGGTCCAGGTTTAGTGGGCACAGAGCAGACGCCCGGGGGAATGTGCCTAACTATTACCCCACCTCTCATCTGAACTCGCCCCTCAGTCTGCTTTTGGTGTCCGGTTTCGTGTCCCTGGATTCCTGCGGACAACTCTAAGGATTAGCCCGGGCCGACTGAGACATGTGAAAAGACTGTGTAATGTGGCTCACAAATTTGTGGCAATTTGTTCAGCAATTTCAAGATTATTGGACATAAAATCAGAATATTCAGAGGGATATGAAACACAGAAGGCAAAGTGTAAAGTAGGGCTCAACATTATATGAGTAGATGTCTTAGTCTTCTAATAGAGTAATTAGAATAGATCTATATAAGTTAACAAATCTAAAACATTTATACACAGTAATATTTGAACAGAAACCCAAAGAAGGGGAAAATGTGGAGAAAAGATTGAAATAAACAATAAAAAAGTGTATATGAACAATTTTTGGAATTTTTTGATTGTGGTTAATCATGCAGCCCTAGTGTAAGCGGTCACACAAAACCTTATACATACACGTGAAACACTGAAAATAAGGATTTGAACCCTGGACCTTCTTGAGAAATGAGCCACATTACCAGCAACCAAAACCACCTCACACTAAAGCCTTCATTTTTTGTTGGAGATTACCCCATTATCATTTGGCTACTGCATTTAGGATGTTCTAATGAAGCTGTGTGAGAAAGTGAGAAAATTAGGTGTTGTTAGCCTCAGCCTCAGTCCTCATTCTAGGGCCTGAGTCCTGGATCTATAGTCACTCTCTGACTGCGGGTATACCAGTGGTTTGTATTATTATTACCTCCCGAAGTAGGACTGTATTATTTTCAAAAAATGTTTTAGTCGTTCCTTGCCAATGCAGAAGGGTCTAAGGACAGTGACGATCCAGGACATTGAAGGACATTTATGGACATTTATTAACATTTATTAACATTGGTCATCCTGCTCCCAATGGATAAATGGCTCCTATGTGTTTGTTATTATTACATTTATTGTGTTCGTACTGTTTGATTCTCTAATCTGTAAATCGACAAGATTGTAAAGTCCTCCGAGACGACTGCTATTGTGATGGAGGGCTATCCAAAATAAATGTAATCTAATTGAAGTCATTGTTGAAAGAGGAGCCAAGATGAGCTCAATGAATGTTAAGCTGAAATCTTCTGAATGTACAACCACAGATGAAGTGTAAAGCACATGTCCTCGTTAATAAAGCTATTATTAGAGCGGGGGTCTTCGGGGTCGTATGCATTGGCTGTCACGTGACCAGGGACGCCCTTCAGCACCGCGCGTGACGGACAGTTCCTCTGCTGATTGTTTTTCATGGCCATAATTACGTAACAAATTATAGACCCACCAGAACAAACGATGTAGAAAATATAATCAACTCTCTGTTACATTAATCCAGTGATCATGATTTATTCTATAAGTTGTGATTTATTTGAATGCAAAAAATCTATATAATTTGTTTCGGGCAATAATAAATATCCATCTTCGTTTTGCTATTTCTTACTTTGATTTTCTGATTAAGATGCACAATCAGGTTAAGGTTAAGAACAGAGAATTCGGTGAGGTTAGAGATGGGGTTAGATAAGAATATCATGTTATGTCATGCTTATAATATAACCTACAACGAAACTTCGCTAGAGCTAAGCAGCAGAAGTTAGCATACATCTCAAACATGTGTCCAATTTGTCAAATAATTAAATAAACACATACTCATTCATTCTCACAATAATTTAGTATTAGTAAACAAGCGCATACAATATAACACTGCACTAGGGTAAGGGTTAGGGGTAAGCTAGCTTGCAACCGGACGAGATGCCAAGATTTTAGAAAGCCCATAGTTTGAATATATCAGCATTGTTTACATGTTTAGCTAATGCATCGCGTGGCACCTGATCAACGGCTGCAACCGAAGGAAGGAGCCCAGAGTCGGTGTGAGCGAGGACCGGTCTGCCCCCCTCCGGTCTGCGGTTGTAGTAGTAATAACAGTATCCAGCAGCAGTGACACATGTCCCCAGCGCTGCCACGGCTTTCGCCGCTTTCGTAGCCGTGGATTGGGACTGTTTCCCGGGTGCAGACGTGCCGAATCCCGCGGTGGTCTTGGCGCCGTGAGCCAGGGAGGTCAGGGTCCTACGCAGCGCGGCCATAGCTGTTTACGCTCCAGCTCCTTCTGAAGAAAACACGCGAGAGAAATTCCCGCTGGTGTAATGGTGAATCCTGCACCCCTCCAGAGACTAGACCACTGTGGCCAATAACAGCGTAGTACATCAATTAAACAACTACTTGATAAATGCCGAGTGGTGTACTGACGAATCCTGCACCCTCCAGACACTTGACTACTGTGGTTCAATAACACCAAAGTCCATTCATTAAACAACAAGGCAAGGCAAGTTTATTTGTATAGCAAAATTCATACACAAGGCTACTCAAAGTGCTGAACAAGATAGCATTAAAATCATAAATAATCACAGAACATTAAAACGAAAGATAAAAATATAAAATCCCTCAGTTGTATGCACAGCTAAACAGCACTGTTTTTAACCTGGTTTTAAACATTGTCAGAGAGGAGGCCTGTCTCACATCTTCAGGAAGATTGTTCCAGATTTTAGCAGCATGAATCTGAAAAGCAGCCTCCCCATGTTTAGTTCTGACTCTGGGCACTAACAGGAGTCCAGTCCCTGTGCTCCTCAGAGTCCGGGCTGGTTCATATGGGACTAACATGTCACTAATATAGTTTGGTGCGAGGCCATGGAGAGACTTGTACACAAGCAGAGCTGTTTTAAAGTCTATTCTCTGAGCCACAGGAAGCCAGTGCAGAGACCTGAGAACTGGACTAATGTGGTCGTACTTCCTGGTTCTCGTCAGGACTCGAGCTGCTGCATTTTGAATGTACTGCAGCTGTTTTACAGCCTGTTTGGACAGACCTGTGAGCAGGCCATTGCAGTAGTCTAACCTACTGGAGACAAATGCATGGATAAGAATCTCCAAGTCTGCTTTAGACACTATGTTTTTGATCCTGGAAATGTTTTTTAGATGGTAAAAAGCTGCTGATGTTACTGATTTGATGTGGCTATTAAAATTTAAGTCTGAGTCCAGTATTACCCCTAGATTTCTGACCTTGTTTGAAGGTTTACTACTTAAGATACAAGCGGCTGTGGTGCATGTTGATTTTAGGGGGGATTCAATAAAACGCAAGGCAAGTTTATTTGTATTGCACAGTTCATACACAAGGCAACTCACACATTAAAATCACTATTTTAAAATCACATAATCACAGTACATTAAAAAGAGTGACGATACAATCCATCAGTGCACAGTTAAACAGACCTTTTTATCCTGGATTTGAACATTGTTAGAGTAGAAGCCTGTCTCACATTTTCAGGAAGAACTTTAGCTGTATAAATCTCAACCACTGCCTCCTATTGTTTAGTCCTGACTCTGGGCACCAGCAAGAGGTCAGTCCCTGTGCTCCTCAGAGTTGGTTTATAAAGAGCTTTTCACATGAACTGTTATTCTGTTGATGCACTGGGTCAATTATCCATGTGCTTAAAGCTGGGTATCTACCACTTCCTTTTCTCAACAGCAAGAGTCTTGTAAGAGTAACACGTTTTGAACAAATCAGACCACTACATACTGTCTTATAACTAGAAAATGACTCTTTTTTTATATTTGTTAGAAAAGAGCCCTGTGATTGGCAGAGTGAAATGCATGGTCCTCTCTTTGTCATTGTTTAGTGAAGGCCTAAAGACATGAAGAGGTCACAAATATACAAATTAGAAGCAAGCTTTTCTTTAAGATCTATAGTTTTGTATTGGGGTGGTAGAAACATGTGAAAATTGATTGATTTGGTTTGACAACCACACATGTCATTAGCTTACCCATCAATTTAATACATTTTTAAAAATCCCCTCTTTCCACTTGTGACTCAAAGTCAAGATAAGCTACTTCCACCAGCATCTGAAAGAAAGATCTTGCCAGACCTTTGGAGCTAAGCAGGACAGTGCCTGTTTAATACCTTGATGCAACACCATACTGTGGTAGTCTATACCGCTATGTACGAAATGAAAGAATAATGCCATGTGAAGAGTCTGTGTCATAATAATATTGTTCAATTCTACTATGAAGGGACACCTGTTCTCGCACTATTGAGCCGGTTTAGCTCATTACTGGGATATAGTAAACAAAAAGTAACTGAGACAGATTCATTTAAATCTACTGATGATTTGTTGTGGTATAGTAATCAATCAATGACAAATAAAATGTTATTCCATTCTATTCTACTGCATTAGTGAGTTATGTGTGCTGGCCTCATAACCTTGAAAAAACTTTCAAAAGCATGTGTCCTTTTATTGGTTAATGTGAGAGTGTAGTTTCCAATAACGTCAATATTTAAAATAATCAGATAATAATAATAATCAATAATTAACAGAAAAAGTAAAATGTTGGTCTTGCAAGTCATTTGACACTTTGGGCTGAGAGCTGATTAGTCCTTTATTTTGCCGTTTTCTGTCTAGAAAATCTGATCTAAAAGATGTGACAGAAGCCAAATGCATGTGACAACTTGAAGAATTTTTGAGGGAGAATGAATATGGATTTGAATACACATTTCATGTTTTTATGGTTTGAAAGTTAGGTAGGCCAATTAATATGCAAAAAAGTGTAATTGTACATGCTTATCTCATGGCCTATATTTGCCTATTGATATTGAGGTCTACGGTGTGCATTCGTCCCACTATAAAACCCATATACGTCTATATATAAATTAACCATGCTGTGTTGAGGGAGCCTTTTCCATGACCCACACGCTCTCTCTCCGCCTCCCCACGTCTGTCCCTCTACCTTTTATTTTACGCTTCACGAGAAGGAGGTGAGTCTCTGCCAGGGCACGTCTGAATCTGCCGCCCCGCCTCTCCGTGTCCTGTCCTGTGGTTTTGCACCTGCCTCACTCCCCACCACTCCAGGAGCGCCTCTTTACCTGCGCGTTGCTTGTGCGCCTCTACTCCTGCTTCCCCTGTGGACCTTTGCAGACATTAACTCTGGATATCGTTTTGAATTCATGGATAAAACGTGAAGATGGCTCGCTTTTGTTATACTGAATGGAAGAATTTGCCTTTTCCTGGTCACAGCATGCAATAGTGGCAGCCAGGTAGTTGCATACGCTACTAATTGAACTTTACACCAGGGCGGCGATGGCTGCAGCTGCGCCCGGCTCTATGGCGCTGTCCTTGGGGGAAGTTGGGGGCGTTCTGCACGGCATGGACGGACTCCCGCAGGTGGGGTCTCATTACTACTTGCCCGCGCTCCAAGGGGACGGACCCGCGCTGTTTGGGGACCACCTGGGGCCCGGGGACAGGCTCTATCAGCGGAGCAGCACGGATCTCACGCACCTCAAAGGGATCCTGAGGAGAAGGCAGCTCTACTGTAGAACGGGGTTCCACCTGGAGATACTTCCTGATGGGACTGTGCAGGGGACCAGGAAAGATCATAGCAGATTTGGTAACTCTTTAATGCAATTGCAGATTTTTGTAATTTATCACATGCATATATTTGAACTGCATTTGTATTGTTTGCGTTGTAAAAGTTAAAGCTGGGATACCTAACTTTACTTTGATATATTTTCTTTGTCTTAAGAGAAAAACAGTAAAAAAAAAAAGTTCAGACCACACCATGCTGTCTTCATATTGTTTATAGGAAAAACAAGACATAGTTGAGTGAAAGAGCACTGTGAGTCACTATTTGACGATTTGGGCTGTTAGCTGATTGGTTGAAAGGAGTGGTCCTCTCTGGCGTGAAAAAAAAAACATAGTTGTGAATACCATTGATTGAACGATAGAACCACATTTTGAGAGTGGGGAATTATAGACATATTACATAGACTTTAGTATTTTTTGTGTGGTTTGAAACAAGTTTTAACGGTGCCTGTTTCTGTTCTGTTAAAAAAAAAAGAAGCAAATTAAAAATTGGTAATATGTGTATAAACATGCTGCTTTGGATCTTCTATTATATATACACACATTTATACTATTTTGTGTATAACTTCAGACAAATCCTTCATGACTTTTTTTTAAAGAAGACAAACTTATTCTGTTAAAATCACTATGTTACACACTATTTCTGTTTCCCAGCATTTGAGCTAAATTAACATGTCATGACATTTCCTAATCCAACTAAAAACAAGGTGCAAAACTCATCAATACTACAATTTGATAATCACATAATTCAACATAAATCTCAAAGAGTTTATGAGAATATATAAAGACTAAGGCCTATTAATAAATGGCCTCTATTGTCCATTCACAATCGACTGCCTTGATACTTGATGCATTAAACCACAAGCTTATCAGTCCCATTGAAATGTGCTTTCATCTGATGCCACTTTTGAACTGTTCCCTCTTTCTCCCTCTCTGCGCAGGGATCCTGGAGTTCATCAGCCTGGCAGTGGGGCTGATCAGCATAAAGGGGGTGGACAGCGGCCTGTACCTGGGCATGAACGACAAGGGAGAGCTTTATGGATCAGTGAGTACAAAAACATGATCAAAAACATGTCACAATGTAGCAAGTTATTGTGATGTTGTGTGGAAAAAACACCATGACTTAAGGAATTTCAAACCACAACAGATAATACTACCTTATATTGTAGACTGGCACCTGTATAGAAGCCACATCACCTAAATTTTAACAGAAAAAAAACATTTTGTCCACGTATAGGCTGCACTTGAGTATAAGCCTCAGGTGTTTGTGTTGGAATGTGGTCGATATGAATCACAACACAATTCAATGACAAGGTGTTCAAGAGCTTAACTGCTTCCATCACTCATTCACCAATCTATTTTGACAATAAACAAGTGTCCTCTGTGACTCTACTCTGACAACTCTACCACAATAAAAATACATACAATAGCTGCATCGCTATATAAGCCTCAGAGATGAAAGAGCAAGGAAAATATAGACGCTTATAGTCCGAAAACTACGGTATGTAATAAAATCCATCTAACTAGTTCCTCGCTCTCAAAATGAGTTTAGTCCAATTTCTAGTTTTCTCATGAATGTATTTTATTGCCTCTGTCACATTTTTAGATCAACTTTCTCACAAGTAAAAGATCAAATATGTTCTACGGTGAATACATCATGTTCTGGACTGATTTGTTCACAACATTGTACTTAGAGAAACTTGGTTTTTTATTGGAACAAACAATATTAGTTAATCCAGCTTTAATTATCAGTGTTAATTCAGAATGTTCTGTCATTTCCTTTGTCCTTTACTGTAGAACACCTCCACTCCACTGCAATAATCCAATCCAATCCAATCCAATTTATCTATGTAGCACATGTTTACAAAACACGAAGTGGTGCACAGATAAAAGTAACACAAGTCCTACATAATTCCTTGATACCTTATAGCTCGGTTCAGCGTTTAGATATTTTTGTATGTTTTGTGCTTTAATCCAACTTTGTGCATGATAAACGCCATATAAACAGTCATAAGAAAAAATGTAAAACACAAGAATCAATGGACGTTTATATTGTGACCTGAATATATTATGATTATGGATGAACCTTATAATCTCGACATCCCCAAAACATATATTTTCCAGTTATTTTGACTTTTGCATTCTGCTATTAACAACAGTGAGGGGACTTTCTGCCAGCTCCTGTTGTCCAAATGGCCTTTAAATCATTTAGTGCTGACAAACTACAGGGTGCATCCATTGCGGTGACATCAGTTATGCACATCATACTTGTCTACATTAAATTGCACACTCCATCAAAGTTGCGACGCGTGAATCGAGATAATTTCAGTAATTAGCAATAAAATGTGTGTCATGACAGTGGGAAAATCACACAGGACTCCAGTCGCTGTGCGTAGACCTTCTCAAACTTTTCATCTAAAATAAATCACATAATAAAAGATCTAGCCTCTCGAGTGCCTCCATCTGTGCACAATGGGCTTGAGAGTATCATTAAATCAAAACCAGGTCTAAGCCAGGATTGTTCTGGTCTAAATAGATCTAAAACACAAGTTCTAAAGTGCAAACATAATAATAATAATAATCATAATTATCAATAACTGCAACAGAGTGTAATTAGTTTAGGTACTCAGTTATAGAAACCGTTTGGCGGCTGCACAAGACGACTTCTACAAGACTAAAGACGTAATGATATTGAAGCTTATTTATATAGCACAATTCATAAACAAGGAAACTCAAAGTGCTGAACAGAGAAAGATAACAAAGGCCTGAAACTGAGCGTACTTGACCCACAAAATGTCAAACAAGATTTTTAACATAGTACAATACTCGATTTTCAAGAAAAAATAAGAAGTTTCTTTCTGCCCAGGACATAAGGAAACTACTCCGGAAATAAGTATTGTCCATACAAAAACAACCCTATCTAGAGTATTTTTAGAAAGAATACAAATGTTGAATTCTATGACAATTATTCTATAACTATTATAGAATGGAGTGTGAACAGTAGATTTTTTATGGATTTTAGAAGAAACACTAACTTTCTATTGGTGGCATTTCACCTGTCTCCATGTTGTGTGCCATGAAACTACTAATAACCATATTATTTAGGGACCTGCCCACTCGCCACAAATTCCTATTCATGTATATTATTTTTCAATGGTTGTGTAAAGTAAGTTTTAACATGGTCTTGATTACTTTGCTTTGTTTGTTGACGGTGGAAAATGTCTCTTTCAATAAAATGTTTTGCAAAATGTCTGATCTGCGCCTTTTTTCCGACCGCTCTTCTGACTCCTCTCTCTTCTCTTCTGTCATTTCCAGGAGAAGCTCTCGGCCGAATGTATTTTCCGGGAGCAGTTTGAGGAGAACTGGTACAACACTTACTCCTCCAACTTGTACAAAAACGGAGACAGAGGGACACGTTACTTTGTGGCACTGAACAAAGACGGGACGCCACGAGATGGGACCAAATCTCGGAGACACCAAAAATTCACACACTTTTTACCCAGACCCGTGGATCCGGACCGCGTTCCTGAGCTGTACAAGGATATCTTGGGACATAGCTGAACACGCAAGGAGGTCTTTTGAGGAGTAACCAAGATAAATCGGCGATCCTGACTTGGAATAAGGTAGTAGCAGCGAAAAAGGAGGATATACCGTGCTACTACCGATGGGATAGAGCCAACTGGGCCCCTTGGAGGAATGCAAAAGGGCCATCTCTCATCGGGCCAGGAAGACAGTGTAGTGTGTCCAAATACTCTTGCATTGAGGGTGCGTTTGTTTCGGTGCAAAGAGGAGATGAAAGAGAAGTAAGGACACGCTAACTCCACCCGGGCGGACTCAACCACGTCAGCAAAAAAGGCGCTGCCGTGGTCACCTAGACAATGCGAGGACGTGGCGCTTGAAGGATACTGTGACGAGAAAGGGAGCGACATGTACAAATTATTTATTCACTTTACACACGTATATATTTATGTTATATATTTATTTATTTGAGAATATATTTTTGTATTCTCAAAGAGCCGAATCAAATATAGACAAAGCCTTAGAAAAGTGTGTTTTGTAAAAGACTGAAGCACTGTGTGAGAAAAAGACCTCGATCCAACCAGAACCAGTACATAGGTTCTAGTCCCACAGAACTTTGGTGACAGGTGGAAAAAAGCTGGGGTATATAACTTTCAAACAACAATTTTTGAACTGTATTTAAAAAAAAATATTTCTCACAATAGAGCATTCCATTTTCCGTCATTTGGCTAAGCTACAAGTCATATCTGCGGAGAGGCGAGCCGTTGCAATGTAAGGATTGAGGTTTTTGAGCAGTAAATGTTCTGAAATCTAACCATGTGCAAGTCAAGAAACAGAATATATGAAATGGCAAAAAGCGAGTAGCGGACCCCAGCCAGAAAAGTTACAGAATGCACCTTTAACTATGTTGAATATAAGTCCAGTTTCCACTAGCTCTACTCTACTCTACTCTACTCTACTCTACTCTACTCTACTCTACTCTACTCTACTCTACTCTACTCTACTCTACTCTACTCTACTCTACTCTACTCTACAAAACACAACTCTCCTCTCCTCTCCTCTCATCTCCCCTACTCTGCTCTGCTCTGTTCTGCTCTGCTCTGCTCTACTTTATTTTATTCTACTCGGCTCTGCTCTACTCTACTATACTCGGCTCTATTCTGCTCTGCTTTACTCTACTCTTCTCTACTCGGCTCTTCTCTCCCCTACTCTACTCTACTCAGCTCTACTCTACTCTACTCTACTCTACTCTACTCTACTCTACTCTACTCGGCTCTACTCTTCTCTACTCTACTCTACTCTACTCTACTCTACTCTACTCTACTCGGCTCTACTCTTCTCTACTCTACTCTACTCAACTCTACTCTACTCTACTCTACTCTACCCTACTCTGCTCTACCCTACTCTACTCTACTCTACTCTACCCTAACCTACTGTACTGTACTCAGCTGTTCTCTACTCTATTTGGCTCTACTCTACTCTTCTTGGCTCTATTCTGCTCCACTCTACTCTACTCTCTTCAACTCTACTCTACTCTCCTCTACTCTACTCTACTCAGCCCTACTCTACTCCACTGTACTCGACTCTACTCTACTCTACTCTATACTCCTCTCTTCTACTCTACTCTCCTCTACTCTACTCTACTCAGCCCTAACTAATCAGGGTAGAGTAGAAGTGAGGAGAGTAGAGTAGGACCAAGTAGGGCTAGTGGAAACGGGGCTATAGCCACACTGCAAAACATGAAAAATGAGATGTATCTTTTTTTTTTTGCATTTCTTGCGTTAAAAGATTGCAATGGGACAAGCAACATTGTCTTGTTTTATTAATTTGAAAAACACCTGATTCAAGAATTTTCTGCCTTATATTAGATCGTTTTTATTTAGTCATGAACAGAGAACAGAGATAACTAGAAGAGGCTGTTTGGAAAAGGGACCAATGTTCACGTGCCACAAAATGCTGTGAAAGTGCTGTTACGTTACACACACGATTATAAAGATTTAGAGACGACAAATGATAATAAATTCTCTATTAAACTACAATTTTGTCCCTGAATTTTGTCCAGAAAAGTTGTCTGATTACTGCAATACCTTTTAGTCTGCTGTAACAGTTTTTTCCCCCAATATATGATTTGGTGCAGGGAATCATCTCCTGTTTGTATCCTTGGAGGTGTATTGACAAAATCTGGAATCTATCTCAGTAAAATGGCATTAAAAATATATGTTTAATGCCATACTGTGGAATTTCCCCAACTGTGGAAAGCCCAACATTATGCAGGTCACTGAAAACGTACCTATGCCTGTCCTTTAGAGAAATGTCATTATCTAAGTGTTTGTAATCTATGACAGTAATAATTTCCATACAATTAAAAGCTGAGGTACCAAAGTTTTTGTTATTTGTTCCAATAAAAAAAACTTATTATCTTGTGCATATCTGTAAGTATCTCTTTGTCATGATCTAAACATGTGACAGACGCCATAAAATCCATGCAAAACCTAACAGGGAAGAAAGAAGCCAGTGTGGTTTGAAAGCTAGGTGCCCCAACTTTAAAAAGACATTTTTTCCATTTCAATTTGTATTGGTTCACTGCAAAAAGTATAAAATATGAGTGGTGTTTATCTCAATTTGAGCACATTCTGACTGTCCTAATGACATTGGCCCAATGGCCAATGGGACAAAAGACATTTAGTATTATTTCAAGAACTGTTGCGTTACTTTCTCATTCCAGGGGAGATATTTCTTGTATCTTTTTAAAACAACATCATTTTTCTTTGTCCCATTGGCAAATCTTGCTTTAAGGCAGTCAAAATCTGCTCGATACATTTTGCCAAATTTGAGACATTTTAATTCAATTTTCATCACTTTTTGCAGTATAATATGAAATGCAAAAACATGATTTTGATTTTTAAATATATTTAATGTCTTGAAGTGCGTCTTTAGAAATGTCTTAAGCGTCCAAGTCCTGCAGTTTCACTCTCCTCTTTCTCCAATTTCAATCAGAGGAGTACCGCTTCAACATAATGTAATTTCAAAACCGTAAACCCCTTCTTCAAATAAGACCTTGGTTTACCCCTACTCTGTCCATATTGTTTGTTTATCGAGATTTTTACGTGGCCTTTTTAAGAGCCAACACTGATACCTTTGACATAGCCACATTCTCTTGGTGTTTATCCTTTGCTCTTTATAGTTTGAACATATAAACGTGCTTACGAGGTCCGTGTTGTCTTTCTTTATGGACGCCATTACGCTAAGGGACAAAATGGACACATAAAACTTCAAAGTCCTAAACCTCAGCGCAGGGAGGTCTCACGGTGACACGATCAGATCCACGTAAAATCTGACCTCCGGCTCAGTCCCAGTATCTCGCGTAATGAATAAAATAAAGGGGTCAGCGTGATAAGGATGGGGAAACTAACATCTTTGTACAGTTTTAAGACTTGTTTAAAAGTCTCTTTAAGTTAAGGCAAGGTGGTCAAGACATCCTGTCCGCAGTGGCTTTTGATTTACTGTCGTGTTTTAGCTGCACTTTCCCACGAATCTCATTTAGTAAAGAAACGGGCAGACAGGATTGGAAGGTTACGCTCTCTCTGGCAGAAATGTCATAGATTGAGCCATATTTTGGAGATAGGATAAGGTAAGATAATGTCATGATTGCGCCATTACAGCAGAATTAAAGGAGAAGTAGACTGAGATCCTCTATTCGTCCGACAGCGGGGAAATTTCAGTGTTGCATCGCAGGTTACAGAACAGTAGGAATGAGGAGCACACAGCACAAGATCAATGAATAATAACTCTAACTCTAGCCTGAAAAGAAGCAGTAAAAGTTTAAACAAATGAAAACATCAAGATTTATTATTTAAGATTTATTATAGAATAATCCCATAATAAATAAAACAGACAATCAACTCTGGAGGTATAAATATCAATAAATAGACAAGGATAAGTATTTTTGGAGAACACAGTCAGGAGATTTTTATATTTACAGATGGTTGGTATGATGATTACACAAATATGATTCATTCACTCATTGTTAGTGGATGTGTGATGTCATATGTTGTAAAATTATTCTGTATTTTAAAATTATAACGTCATTCTGCTGCTGTGGGGGAGATTTCAAATATACAGTTCATGTAAGGTGGCCCAGGAATAGACAGCAACTGGAGGCTTGTTGCCAAAAAGAATGGGCGGCTTTACCATCAGAGAGGATAAAGAACCTCATCTAAAAATACCACAAAAAACGTCAAGTTTCAGAAATGTTAAAGGGGAATACATGCTGTTGAGAGCTGGGGGATGGAGACTTTTAACCAGGACCAGGAGTGGAGTTTCTGTTGTCAATAAACAGGTTTTTTGACAATAAATAATCATCACACAATCAGTAGCAATGACTGAAACAAGGTCATTTTTATCCAGAATAAAGTAGAAAAAAAAGTGTAAATACTTCATTGGGCCGTGTGCCAGTCCCATGTCTAGATAAATGTTAAGAGAAGATACAACCATGTGTTCGTTCTACAACCTGAGAAATAGGGACTTTCCCGGCTGCACACCTCACCTCCCTGCCATCGGGTAAAACAGTGTCAGAGAGCAAGTCCAAAACCAGGACTGAACCAGGGCTGAAGCAGGGCTGACCCAGGACTGAACCAGGGCTGAACCAGGACTGAACCAGGACTGAACCAGGACTGAAGCAGAACTGAACCAGGGCTGAACCAGGGCTGAACCAGGACTGAACCAGGGCTGAACCAGGACTGAACCAGGGCTGAACCAGGGCTGAACCAGGACTGAACCAGGACTGAACCAGGACTGAACCAGGGCTGAACCAGGACTGAACCAGGACTGAAGCAGGGCTGAACCAGGACTGAACCAGGGCTGAACCAGGACTGAACCAGGACTGAAGCAGGGCTGAACCAGGACTGAACCAGGACTGAACCAGGACTGAAGCAGAACTGAACCAGGGCTGAACCAGGGCTGAACCAGGACTGAACCAGGGCTGAACCAGGGCTGAACCAGGACTGAACCAGGACTGAACCAGGACTGAACCAGGGCTGAAC